TCTTTTATTCAGTATTAAATTACTGGATTCTCAAGTCATGCAATCAGTAAGTATAAGCTTTAAGTTAAGCTTGTACATTCCAGTTTTACTGTTTCCAAGGAGCTCAAGAGGGGGTTAACTTCAGCACCGGTGTTAACTATTCCCGATCCTTCTCGGAGTTTCACTATCTTCAGCGATGCTTCGAGACAGGGCTTGGGATGTGTCCTTATGCAGGACGGACAGGTCGTCGCGTATGCTTCACGTCAGCTTAAGCCTCATGAGCAGAACTATCCGACGCACGACTTGGAGTTAGCAGCAGTCGTTCATGCTCTCAAGATCTGGCGACATTATCTTTACCGCGGACGTTGCGAGATTTTCACAGACCATAAAAGCTTGCAGTACATCTTCACGTAGAAGGAGCTTAATATGAGACAGCGCCGTTGGCTCGAACTTGTCAAGGATTACGACTGCTCTATTCAGTATCATCCGGGAAAGGCTAACGTCGTCGCGGATGCCCTAAGCCAAAAGGTGAGGGGTGACTTGACGTACGTCATTACTCAGCAGAGCCCGTTGATTCAGGAATTTTCCTGGATGCAACTTCAGGCGATCGATGCACTTCCCATAGCCGTTTCGGGGAGTACCAGTGCCAGTGTCAGTGCTATGCAGCTTTAGCCGACGCTGAGAGAGAGAATCTGGCGAGAGCAGGCTTCTGACTAGTTCGTTCGTGTCATGGAGGCCAAGGTTCGCGCCGGAAGTGTCAAGGATTTTCAGCTAGGTGCCGATGGTGCCTTAGAGTTCAGAGGCAGGATCGTGGTCCCGAAGGTCGAGGCGTTGCGGAAGGAGATTTTATTAGAGGCTCATACCGCACCCTATTTGGCCCATCCCGGGAGCACGAAGATGTATCACGACCTGAAAGGGTCGTTCTGGTGGCGAGGCATGAAGAAGGATGTCTCCGAGTTCGTTAGGAGATGTCTTACCTGTCAGCAAGTCAAAGCCGAACATTAGAGTCCGATCGGCCTCCTGCAGCCACTGCCGATTCCGAGGTGGAAGTGGGAGGAAGTCACGATGGATTTCGTTACGGGATTACCGAGGTCGTTTGAACATCACGACGCTATTTGGGTCGTGGTCGACAGATTGACTAAAGTTGCGCATTTCTTACCCGTTTCGATGAAGATGTCTCTGGACAAGTTGGCTGAGATATATACCCGTGGGATCATTCGATTCCACGGAGTGCCCGTTACGATCGTATCTGACAGAGATCCCAGATTCGTCAGTCGATTCTGGCACAGTTTACATGAGGCGATGTGCACGAAGCTAGAGTTTAGTTCAACCTACCATCCGGAGACAGATGGTCAGTCTGAGCGGACTATTCAGACGCTTGAGGATATGCTTCGCGCTTTGGTTGTTGACAGGGGTGCTAAGTGGGAGTCACTGTTGCCGTACGCTGAGTTCGCGTATAACAACAGCTATAATTCTACCATTCAGATGGCTCCTTACGAGGCACTTTACGGTCGCAAGTGTCGTTCCCCTCTCTATTGGGACGACATCGGAGAGCGACGAGTACTCGGTCCTAAGATGATCGAGAAGACAACAGAACAGGTCGAGTTGATCCGGCAGAGACTCAGGACAGCTCAGAGTCGACAGAAATCTTCCGCCGATCATCATCGGCGAGACATTCAGTTCGAGGTTGGTGAGCCAGCTTTTCTCAGAGTTCGTCCGATTCGCGGAGTCGTTCGATTCGGAAAGAGAGGGAAGCTGCACCCTCGATTCATCGGTCCGTTCGAGGTTCTCGAGCGAGTGGGCGAGGTCGCGTATCGATTAGCCCTACCTCCCGAGTTATCAGGCATTCATAATGTTTTCCACTCATCTATGTTGCGTAAATACGTGTGCGACCCCGATCATGTCATTCCTCATACCGATATTCAGGTTCAGCCAGATTTATCGTACGAGGAGCAAACAGTAGTTGTACTAGACCGTCAGGTTCGTCGGCTCCGGAAGCGAGATATTCCCCTCGTGCGTATTCAGTGGGATCTCCACGGAGCTACTTGAGAGGAAGAGTCCGACATTCGCGCTCGTTTTCCAGATTTTCAGTTCTGATGTACATATTTTATGTTCCATGTACATAGTCATGTATTGTCAGTTATGTTTTGAATTTCCGAGGATGGAAATTTTGTAAGGAGGGAGGATTGTAATATCCCGATATTTTATCAGTATAAATTATGTTTTAATTCTGAATTATTAATCTTGTTGAGTATTAATTGTCGGAATTAATTATTTTCAGACGAGATTACCGAAAATTATTTTCGACGTACCGTTTACGTTCGGAATGTTTTGGTAATTAAGCATTATGTTTAATTAAAATAATTAAACATAAGAAAGGATTAATTAGCCATTAATCATACCCTAATGGCATAAAAGCCGTACGGGAAATTATATTTCCCAACTTTTGCTAAAAGTTTTCCTAAGGGTTAAGGAAATAAATTTCTTCCCAATTCTATTACCATCACACGTGTCCTTAGGAGAGGATTATTGGGAAGATTAGTCATGCTAAGCCTCTCAATTAAAGAGCAAGTGTAGGGCATTTCATAAGGCCACGTTAAGCCATCGTCATCACCCCAACTTTGTAACTCCATTCGGCCCTCTCTATATATAGCATAGAGAATTGGAAATTTTTCCCCACTTCGTTCCTTATATTCAGCCCATATATGTATTTTAGTCCTTAAGATCAGCAAGCTTTGAGAAGGCCGCTCACACCTTACGCACGACAATACGCACAACATCGTAAGGCAAGCTATCGCGCATAGGGCACGTACACGCAAGGTCTCGAGCGATTTTGATATTCCGTCGAGTACTTAAGAAGGTATAGTCATCCTCGACTTATTTTTATGGCCATAAGTTCATTTTAAGTTGAAGTGTTCGAGTCATGTTCAAGAATTCTTAGTATTGCCGTGTTAAAGTTCGAATGTGCCTAAATTAAATCGTGATCGAGTAACTGCTTGTTTTACCCGGCAACTCACGAACCATTCATGTTTAACTTATCAGTTTACCTCATTTTATGTTCAGTCACTCGATGATGGTCGAGGAAAAATGTTGTTTTATGTGTTAAATGGCCCAAAGCCGTCACCAGCGCTCATCGCGCGTGGCCACGGGCGGCACCAAGTCACGTCCTGTTACTTTCAGTTATGGTCACGTTCTTTCGTGTGATTTATGTCCTGATAGTCTCATAATGATGTTCATGTTAAAATGGTCTGGAGTTTCCGAGGGAAAAGATGATTTCGTCGGGAGACGGCTTATCGCCGTCGGCGGCGCACGGCGCGCTCGCCACGGCCCGTTCAGTTGATCATGCGAAAGGTTATATTTTTAAGTCATTTTGATGATTATGTTCATGTTGAGTCAGGTGATGTTGTTTTATGTTGAAGTTGTCGGAAAGAAACGTCGGACGGCCTGTTGGTGTTATATACTTAAGCTTTGCTTTAGTGGATATT